CCCCAAAACCCCAAAACCCCAAAACCCCAAAACCCCAAAACCCCTTTAAAGAAATATTTCCTTGAAACATGATCTCATCTCGAATATATTTTATCAAAGCATTCAGGGTAATGAGAGAGTCAAGACACAATTATGTATAACTTAAAATAAATTGGTGAGGTTCTTGATTACTTCACCTTTTTCAACATACTGTTTAGTCTTCTTTCCATTCTCATCTGTAATAAATGTATCTCCAGTAACATCTCCATCGACCCATTCACCATAGTATTCTTGTCCATCGGGGAACATCATTTTCCCTCTACCATGCTTCTGTCCATTCCTATAAGATCCAACATATCTCTTCCCATCCGGCCAATAGAAGGTTCCCTCTCCATGCATATTGCTATTCTCAAAATGCCCTTCATACTTCCTACCATCAGGCATCTTCAGAGTCCCTAGGCCATTAAGTTCATCCTTCTGAAGGTCTCCTTCATAGCTACTACCATCAGCCCATCTGAAAACCCCAAATCCTGACTTCTTTCCTTTCCTATAGAAGCCTTTAAAGGTTGTTCCGTCAGCCCATTTTTCAATTCCTTCTCCATGAATCTTCCCTTGTTTAAACTCGGCTTTTCTCATTCCGCCAGATTCTCAGTCGATGAAGATGCCGAATCCGTGCGCGATTCCATTCTTGAAGTCTCCTTGGTACAAGGTGTTGTTATGGAAGATCATTCTTCCCTTACCGTACTGTCTTCCGTGCTTGAAGAATCCTTCATAAAGGTCGCCTTGGGAGCCGAGGGAAACTCCTTTCCCCTCTCTGACCTGAGTGCCCTTCCTGACTTCACCACAGTAGCTGCTGAAATCTTGTTCTTCAACCAAGTCATCCTTGTCAAGACCCAGGTTATACCAGTCATAGATAGAGTACTTGTACTGACCGTATTTATTTATAAATTCTTTTTACTTCTTCGGAGGCATTCTTGAGTATTTTGTTCATTACGCTTGAGGAGGTTATTGTTTTATCAGCCTCAGGTCTGTTCAGGTCGAAATCGAAGGAGCCACCCATGTCCTTAACGAATAGGCTAACTCTATGATCATCGACTTTCTCATTACTACTCATAGCTCCTTTTTTGTTTTCCTCCAACAACTCAGTATCCATAGTACCTATCTGCTCTTCTTCAACTTGGCAAGGTGAACAGCCACAAAATATTTTATTTGAAAGTTTCTCAAACCAGCTCATTTATATTAAATTTTGTTTTTAATCAATAATAATGAATGGAAGTGGGGTTTTGGGGTTTTGGGGTTTTGGGG